TATAGTGAGATTTATTATAATTCTCATGTGGTGGAAGAGAAGGCTGAGGCTCAGAGAGGTTAAATAAGTAGCAGGACTGAGCAGGTAAAAGGACACAGGCTGAGGAGACCTTGCAGATTACCTTCCCTCTCCAAAGGCAAGTCCTCTTCCCCCAACACTGCGCTCTGGAGCCATACCCAGCAAGGGAGCACTCAGCCTGCTGCCTTTCAACGCCAGTGGAACTGTCCACTTCAGAAGCAGGTGGCCGTTTGTGCAAGAGGCAAATTTGTTCAGTATTCGAATCAAGGGAAGAGGTGAAAGCAGATGCGAGACTTGTGGAAAGAAAACTCTATGGAATGGTAATGACAGGAGCCGATCTGAAAAGGAGACCGAGGCCTCCAGCTCAGCCCCCCGTCCTCACGCTCCTGCTTGAATATTTTAATCATAAAAGCATGAGGCTCTGAGCATCTTCCTCATCCTGCCTCCACCCCCAGCACACACAGGGAGAGGGTATTTTGAGTCTCGGTAACCGCCCCACAGATTCAGATCTATTTTTGTTTCTGTAGACACATCCTTCCACATCCCTCCCCATCCATTCTCTGCTGTGGGTCCCTCCCTCCCACTCCCACACAACTGAGCTCACGCGGCGGCCTCAGAATAGAGAGTGCTCCCTTCCCTGCCTCTCCGCCCCCAGGATGACTCAGGGGTTGTACAGAGCACCAAGATACAGGAGGGCTGGCCCCAAACTACTATCTCTGAGTCAAGGGCTTGCATCTCAGCTCCCATCAGACCTGATGTCCAAGGGATGCTCAAGCATTCTGGAGGAGGACGATGATGGGGACAAGATGGTGGGCAGTATGAGCCTATCAGGAGGGTGTGTTATCCAGCTCAACTGTCCCAAGCCCCATGTGAACACCTAATGAACACCCAAAATATGGTTAGGCCAATCCAGAAGTGTTACATTGTTAAACACCCTTAAGCTTTTAAATATTTTGTATAGAAATATACATGTGCACACTTATACACATATACACATGCATATGATATATCTCAGTAATAATTTTTAATTAATTGTCAGAATTGTAGTATGTTGGGCATATGTTTGGTTAAGTAAAATATATTAAAATCAAGCTGGGCATGATGCCACACACTTTTAATCCCAGCACTCAGGAGACAGAGGCAAGCGGATCTCTACAAGTTCAAGGCAAGCCTGGTCTACAAAGAGAGTTCCAGGCAGCCCTTGGCTGCACAGAGAAACCCTGTCTCTAAAAAACAAAACACACCACACACACACACACACACACACACACACACACACACACACACACACACACACATATATCAAGTTTACCAATTTCTTCTCATTTCTATAATCTGAATACCAGGAAAATGTTCAGCTGCACATAAGACCTGCATACATTAAGCCTTTCCTTTTGTGTGGCTGCCCTAGAGTTGGCAACATTTTTGCCAACCTGAGGAGGTCTACCGTTCCTGCTTCTACAGCTGGAGGCCACCTCACCAGCTCCCATTCCAGTGGGTCAGTCATTAGAGATCCAGGTATGTCCAAAATGACCGTCGCAGCGTGCAGCAATTCTAGGACACTGTCCTTCTCATGTTTCTTTAAAGTCTATACTTCTACCCCTCTGTTCTTGGCTGAGACACACAGGAAGGGAGAGATACTGCCTCCCTCCACTTCCAAAACCTCATTGTTTTTCCAGAAGGACGCGTCCCTCCCAGTTGTCCGCCCTGCATTCCCCTCCCCTCTTACATCCTAAATCAGAAGCTCCCTTCCTAGGAAAAGCTATGCAAAGAAAAGTCCTCATCCTCAAGGGACCGGAAGGAAGTCTCTTCCTGTCATAACTCTGGGTGCCCCACGTGAACCTCCTTTGGCCAAACCCCATCGTCCTCTGGCATACTGGATTCAAGAAATGATAGCACTATCCCTGAAAACGTGACAGTACATCTTTCTCCCAGGCCCTCCCTACCTGCAGCCCCTCAGAGAATCCTGTCTGGGTGCACACTGTAGCAGCTGAGGTGTGGGGATCCTTCAGATGGTGTACCTCCAAATGTGACTGCCTCCGGACCACAACAGCATCCCTAGATATGCAGATTCATGGGCGGGGTGCCGTGTTTGGTGGGGTAGGATCTGGTGAGCTGGACAGAGAGATCTTATGAGTTCCTCAAGTGAGAGGGGAGTAGACTGAAGTTATGGGGACCCTGCTGGCTTAGCAGATGCATTGTCTCTGCCTGGTCAGTGCTGTATTTAGCTCTCTCCTTCTAATAACACCACGCTTTGCTTCAAAATAACCAGCCCCTTCTCAGCTGCAGGTCTGGAAAGTTACCTTACTCCCCCAAAAGACAAGTGCCTCAGGCCTGATCAGTCAGACCCCAGCATCACCCTGGCCAGAGGGATGGGTTCAGAACCGTGGCCAAAATAATTTGAGGGGCAGCCATGCCCTATTGCTGTGAGTTTCACAGTCAGGCCTGGAAACGTGTCTCCCTGCTTCCTCCTGTCCTAAACCCGAATATGATAGAGACTCTCGGCTGCCAGCTCTGGACAGTGTGTGCCTACAGCTGCCACCCAGCACTGCCGTGACAATGAGGAACAGTAATGGAGCACTTCAGGAACAGAGAGGAGTCTCAGGGAGTCAGCAGCTGAGGCACCAGGAGTCTGGGCACCAGGGCAGGAGTCTCTCTACTCATGGGCAAGACACTGGCCAAGCTTTTCTGGGTCAAGCCCATTGTGTTTAGATCTGGAGAAGCAAGTAGAGAAGAAGAGGGAGAAGCTGGTAGAGAGGAGTTTAGGTGCATAGATTTGAAGTCTTGGGGGAAAACTTACTTGGTGATCAAGAAGGAATACTTAACTTGGCTAGAGCTGTTCAGTAGAACCCGAGACTGCGGGTTCCCCTTTGGAAGAGAAGAGGATATCCTTCAAGAATGTAACCACCACTGGAGACTTCGAGAAGCGATCTCTCCAAAGTGAAGCTTTCCACCCTCCACATGTGCCTGCTATCACCTGGCCTCATAGATATGCTTTTTAATTCACTCTGGGATCAAGTGTGTGTTTCTCACACTTGAAACAGCTAGTCAGAAGCTCACGGGGACCCTGCAGAGCAAGGGGAAGAAACAGGGGGTCACCCTGTTGATCATCTCTTCTTAATGCTATGACCCAAACAAGTCACCCCAATATCCAGATCAATTAAAACGAGAATGGCCAGGCGTGGTGTTGTCTACCTGTGACCCCGGCATATGGGTGGTTGAAACAGGAGGATTGCTGCAAGCCTGAGGCCAGCTTGAGCTGCAAAGCAATAATGTCTCAGAAGGAAAGGAAGAAAGGGGAGGAGAAGGGAGGGGGAGGGAGGGAGGGAAGGAGGAAGGGAGGGAGGGAGGGAAGGAGGGAGGGAGGGAGGGAAGGGGGCAGTGAAGGAAAGAGAAAAGGAAAGGAAAAGAAGAAAAGAAATGAAATCACAGAAAATGGGGTTGAGTCACGTGATCTCCAGGCCCCTTTAGCTGTGACAGACGCCAAAAAGTCCCTGTGGTACAGAGTGGGATGAAAGGCCTCTCTTGGTCTCTCTCCACAGAATACTGACCCTGGAGCTGGCTTCACCTGCCTTCTGTCCTTCCCTGTCCCCTGCAGCTGGCTTCACCTGCCTTCTGTCCTCCCCTGTCCCCTGCAGCTGGCTTCACCTGCCTTCTGTCCTCCCCTGTCCCCTGCAG